AGTCTCTCTGCACCCTGCTCAGAGTCGGAACCCTCTCCAGGGTCCTCCACATCCTCCAGGGCCGACTCATAGCGTCCCTCACTGTCGGAGTCTGGTGGCAGCTCCAACGGCTCCTGCTGGGCCACAACATTGAACTATATAAGAATGAATTTAAAAAAGAATGTAATAAGTAAATTAAATACAGTTCCACAGAAAGAAAATCAGTCTAATAAAAAATTAAAATAGAACTTTCGTTCCATAACAGGGCATGAAATATGCAGTAAAGCTTTCCACATCATAGTTAGTGTTCTGTGGTTATACTGAAACCAGCGTGGCTCTTGAGACAAGCAATTCTTCAAATTCTATTCCAACACGTCTGGAGAATGTTGGCAGAGTTTAAAATTTACTGTTTGGAATCCGAACTAAGCGGAAAAAGTTTGTTTGATATTGTGGACCTGATTTATGGGCCAAGAAATCGGGTGGGTGATTTCTTCTGCTAGCCAATTTCTATGGGGAAGAAGAAGTTTTGCAACAAATTTTCGAGGACAGATTCTCCACAGGGCAGAAGCAGACTAAAGTAGAGATTATTGTACAGTGAAAGGCAAGAGATTGATGCAGGTTCTGTAACCATTTCCTAATCATATAAGTACAATAATTTCATTCATAAGAACAATAGCCTGGGCAACGCAATTGTAAGGGACTTCCACAAGTTGGAATAAGAACACAAGAGGGTTATGAAGGACGACTGGAAAAAGACCAGAAACCAGTTCTGTGAGGAATTGATAAAGGAACTGGTTATGTTTAATCTACAGAAAAAAGGATTGAGAAAAAGAAAAACATTATAATAGTCTTTAAATATCTGAAGAATTGTCTTATAGATGAGGGATTAGACTTGCTCTCCATTGCTCTAGAGATCAGGACTAGAGCCACTGGACTGAAACTGCAGGGAAGTAGATTTAGGTTCAAATTAGAATGAATTTCCTGAGTAAGAATGCTCCGTTAGTGGAATAGGCAGCCTTAATAAGTGGTATTTCTCCTTCAAAGTTCATTCAAAGGCTAGATACACTTCTATCTGAAATGGTTTAGCAGAGCTTTGTTCTGAGAAAGAGGTTGGATTAAACTATTGTTGAGGCCTCTTCCATCTCAACGATTCTATGAATTTCTTGAAATTCTCTTCTGCTTTGAAATTAATTAACTCACTAAAGCACATTTTCTTTCCCCAGATTTCATAAGGAAAAAATAATAATAACACGAATATTTTGCCCAGTACTAGTTGAAAACAATTTTCTTTATTAAGTATTTATTTTTTTAAACCTTCAATTTTTTTTTTACATAAATTGCATCAGTAAGTCATATAGCCCAATAGGTAAGTGAAGTCTGAATGATCATTTCCCTATTGCCAACAGAAAATATGTAGGAAGAGAACATTTCCTTTAAGGCAGCCTTGTACGTGAGTGGCAGGTGCACACATGCATGCAGCTCCATGTGTGCAAGTGGGGTGTGTGTGTGTGTGTGTGTGTGTGTGTGTGTGTGTGTGAGAGAGAGAGAGA